TGCTGCTGCTGCTGCTGCTGCTGCTGCTGCTGCTGCTGCTGCTGCTGCTGCTGCTGCTGCTGCTGCTTCCCCCTGAGCTGTACAGACACCCCAACCCGCAGCGCATGCACAAATTGAAATCAATTTAAAGTTCAAATTAAAATTAATTTAAAGTTCAAATTAAAATTAATTTAAAGTTCAAATTGAAATTAATCAAAACTTCAAATTAAAACTTGCCTTTTATCTTCAAATTAAAACAAATTAAAACTTCAAATTAAAACAAATTAAAACTTCAAATTAAAACAAATTAAAACTTCAAATTAAAATAAATTAAAACTTCAAATTAAATCAAATTAAAACTTCAAATTAAATCAAATTAAAACTTCAAATTAAATCAAATTAAAACTTCAAATTAAAATTTGTTTTTAACTTCAAATTAAAATTTGTTTTTAACTTCAAATTAAAATTTGTTTTAAACCGACTTCATTTTAATTCACAAATCACTTTTGGAAATTCATGCATGCATGCATTTGCATGCAAACTGCATGCAAATATATATAATGGTAAATATATATATTTATATTTATATTTATAAATAAATATATTATTTATTTATTTATTTATTTATTTATTTATTTATTTATTTATTATTATTATTTATTTATTTATTTATTTATATTTCTCCACATATTCGCCTACGGGGCCTACAGGCTGTTGGCGTTTGTGAATCAAAAGCTTTAAGGGCTACGCAGCCTCTGCTGCGAAGGCGGACCTGCAGCAGCAGCAGCAGCAGCAGCAGCAGCAGCAGCAGCAGCAGCAGCAGCAGCAGGAGGGCTCACTACTGTGGGCCTCGTCAACTGAGCAGCTGCTGAATGGGTGGACTTCTCTGAGCAGCTGCAGCTCCTTTTCCTGTTCCTTCAGCTTCTGCCGCAGTCTCCCCACCTCCTTCCTGCTGCTGCTGCTGCTGCTGCTGCTGCTGGCTGCTGCTGCTGCTGCTGCTGCTGCTGCTGCTGGCTGCTGCGCCTTCGCGCTGCGCAGCTTCTCATTTTCCTCTCGCAAAATCTTCGCCTCCAAAATTAACTTTTGCAAAATTTCTTCGACGCGGTCCAGCCGGTCGATTTTGTGTGCATTGGCCCGCAGCAGCAGCAGCTGCTGCTGCTGCTGCTGCTGCTGCTGCTGCTGCTGCTGCTGCTGCTGCTGCTGCTGCTGCTGCTGCTGCTGCTGCTGCTGCGCTGCTGCTGCTGCTGCTGCTGCTGCTGCTGCTGCTGCTGCTGCTGCTGCTGCTGCTGCTGGCTGCTGCTTGAGGCTCGGGGTGCGTAGAAGGCATTTCGGAAGGTCACTGGAGAGTCCGGGGGCTCTTCTATGAAGTGGCCGCTGCAGCGGGGCGAGCCGCTGTCTGCTGCAGCTGCAGCACCCGCTGCTGCTGCTGCTGCTGCTGCTGCTGCTGCTGCTGCTGCTGAGGGCTCGAGGAACTCGTGCACGGACTCGAGAGACTGCACTGCAGAGGCGAAGGCCGGGGGCTCGTAGGGGCGCCACCAGGAGTGGACTGGCGGGTCCATTTCGGGAAGAAAGTGAATTAATTTAAGACAAGTTTTGGAGTTTTAAAGCATTTTATGGAGTTTAAAAGCATTTATTAAAGTTTTAAATCATTTATTAAAGTTTTAAAGCATTTATTGGAGCTTTAAAGCATTTTATTGGAGCTTTAAAGCACTTTAAATGCATTTTGAGCTCTCCGTCGCCAGCAGCTGCAGCGGCGCCGCTCGCAGACGCCGCAGCAGCTCTCTGTTCAAGTTTTCCCGAGAGCTGCTGGCGGCGGAGGAAAGCGGGCCAACAGGGGCTTCTTTCTTCTATTCTGAGGTTTTAAAATGATTTATTTGTTGAAAAATGCAAAAAAAAACAGTTTTGGCGCGACAGGAGCCGGAGATTGGCGGCTGGTCGCGCGAGCTGCACGTACACCGCAAGGGCGCGCCCGCCGCCACCAACGGCGGCGATCTTCGGCGATCTTCTGCGGAAAACTGCGGAGTTGGTGAAGAAAAACAAAAGTGAAGACTAATGAAGTTGTTTGTTGCAAAATTCAACAATTCCGCAGACATACACTGCACATACACTGCGCGGGAAGACCCAGCGGACCAGCGGCGCCGCTGGTCCGCTGCAGTCCCGGCCGCTTTCCTCCCAGCCCTTTCAAAAGACCTCGGAGCCTCCAAAGCGCTGCAAATTTGTACTTTTATTTGTTTTCAATTTGCAAAATTGAAAACAAATAAAAGTACAAATAGTATTAATTGCGCGTTTATTTCGGGGCTTCGCCGGTTGCAGCGGCGGGCCCGCAGCCGCTGCAGCGCGGTCCACGGCGACGCCGAAGGCGGCACTCCGCGCCAGATCTCGCGGAAAACAAACGAAAAAGCTGAACTGAATTGTTTTATTTATTTTATTTATAATTTATTTGCAATTTATTTGCAATTTATTTATAATTTATTTATAATTAGAACGAAGTGGGGGCTGTGCACTTCTTCTTTCGAGACTGTCTCGCAGTGTCTTCACACGCAGTCCGTCTGGGCTTTCGGCTGTACGCGCCAGCTGCTGCCTTCCTCGCGCCGCATTCTTCTTCTGTCATTTCATTTAATTGTTTTCATTTAATTGTTTTCATTTATTTTATTTCATTTATTTAATTTTATTCATTTTAAAAAGAATAAAGCGGCCACACGCAGCTCGGCTCGACGAACTTGCCACCCGCCCGGAGCCTTCGGCAGAAGTTCGTGTCTTCACTTCGTGCTGCTGCTGCTGCTGCTGCTGCTGCTGCTGCTGCTGCTGCTGCTGCTGCTGCTGTGGGCCTAATTTGTTGCCATATACCTCATTAAAGACTCAAAGGGAGGAAAAGACAAATCATTTAAATAAATCAAAAAGCTGAAATGTTCAAAAGTGTCCTTCGCCAAACGCTGGTGTCTCATGCAGATCTGTGCATGCAGCAGCAGCAGCAGCAGCAGCAGCAGCAGCAGCAACAAAGCAGCTGCTGCATGCAGAATAAATGCCATTTAATGGATTAGTCATTTATTAAAGTTTAAAAGAACTCTTGAAAGCAGCAAATGCACATGAAAACAAAAAGAAAAAGCTGCAGCTTTTTCTTTTTATTTTCAAACTTAAATTCAATTTGCTGTTTGCTGCAGAGGGAAAGAAACAGCTGCAGCTTTCTGTTGTCTTTTGCTGCTGCTGCTGCTGCTGCAGCTTTCTGCTGCCTTTTGCTGCTGCTGCTGCTGCTGCAGCTTTCTGTTTTCGTTTGCTGCTGCTGCTGCAGCTTTCTGTTATCTTTTGCTGCTGCTGCTGCAGCTTTCTGTTTTCTTTTGCTGCTGCGGCGGCACTTTTTATTTAATTCATTTAAAATATAATTTGCTTCCAATGCAATCAAGCTGCAGCAAAACGCTGCAACGATTCACACGCTGCAACGCAGCAGCAGCAGCAGCAGCAGCAGCAGCAGCAGCAGCAGCAGCAGCAGGCCCTTCAAAACAAAAAACAAAAACAAAAAAAGGAAACGAGAAAAGAATTAAAAGAAGCAGCAAAAGCAGATAAGGCGAATCCGTGCATGCAGCAGCTCCGAAAAGTTGAATTTGAGGGAAAAGAGCCGTTTTTGGGTTTAAAAAAAAGAAAAAAAGAAATAAATGAAAACCAAAACAATTCCAGAAGTTCCAGAATTAAATTAAATTAAAAAAATGCAAAAAAAACTCAAAAAAAGAACCAAAAAGATGCACTTTAAGAGCCAAGTTTGCAAATTCAAGTTCTGAATCTCACTGGGGAAGAAAGCGGGTCTTCTGCATGCAGTTGAGTTCAAATGAGTTTATAAATAAATAATAAAATAAATATTTAAAAATATAATTCATATTTAAATAAAATAAATAAATAAATAAATAATTCATGTTTAAATAAAATAAATATTTGAAAATATAATTCATATTTAAATAAAATAAATATTTGAATAAATAATTCATATTTAAATAAAGTAAATATTTGAAAATATAATTCATATTTAAATAAAATAAATATTTGAATAAATAATTCATATTTAAATAAAATAAATATTTGAAAATATAATTCATATTTAAATAAAATAAATAAATAAATAAATAATTCATATTTAAATAAAATAAATATTTGAATAAATAATTCATGTTTAAATATCTTCAAGCAACAGCTCCAAATGGCTGGACTGGAGGCGCGGCTTGCCTCTTTGCTGCTGCTGCTGCTGCTGCTGCTGCTGCTGCAGATCTGCAGCATTTGCTGCAGCACATATTTGCTGCTGCACATATTTGCTGCAGCTTTCCAGTTTCAAACTGCAACTGCTGCTGCTGCAGGAGCCGCAGCAGCAGCAGCAGCAGCAGCAGCAGCAGCAGCAGCAGCAGCAGCAGCAGCAGCAGCA